TAATGGTGCTCCGTGGGATGTTCAAAGTTTCAGATATTTTTTTAGAACACAACCTTGATCTGTACTTCTCCACAATTTTGTCCCTGACCTGTTTGGAGAGCTCCTTAGTCTTCATGGTGCCGCTTGCTTGGAGGTGCCCCTTGCTTAGTGGTGTTGCAGACTCTGGGGCCTTTCAGAACAGGTGTATATATGCTGAGATCATGTGACAGATCATGTGACACTTAGATTGCACACAGGTGGACTTTATTTAACTAATTATGTGACTTCTGAAGGTAATTGGTTGCACCAGATCTTATTTAGGGGCTTCATAGCAAAGGGGGAGAATACATATGCACGCACCACTTTTCCGTTATTTATTATTTAGAATTTTTTGAAACAAGTTATTTTTTTCATTTCACTTTACCAATTTGGACTATTTTGTGTATGTCCATTACATGAAATCCAAATAAAAATCAATTTAAACTACAGGTTGTAATGCAACAAAATAGGAAAAAGGCCAAGGGGGATGAATACTTTTGCAAGGCACTGTAACTGCCTTAATGTTGCTGGACCCCAAGCTAATGGGGATCCTTAATAAATACAAAATACAAATGTGGTTAGACCAGGGCTTGAACAAAAGCCTGCACACCAAGTAGCTATCCTGGAGGATGTTTGCCACCCTTGATATACTGTAAAATATTGCAACATTACAACCACATACTTTTGTCTTTATAAAATGATTCCATCATTCAATGAATCAGGGATCAAATGGATACTTATTTAGTTAGCTATAGTTAACTAGCGAGATAATTGCTAGTTATTCTGTTGTCTGTCATTATTTTATACCTGCTGCTGAAATGTCGCTCTCTCTCCTCGGGCAACGGCCCACTCACACTTGGACACATGCAGCACCACAGACACGCACTGAATGGTCATTCCGATAATGGCTGACATTGATTAAGATTGATAATATTTAAAAGTGTGCCTTCATGAATTACATTAACAAAAATTATTAAACTAATTTCCATGACTTTTCATGACCTTATAAACCCTAATTTGACAATTTGGAACAGCGCATCATGCCATTCAGGCTGGAACATTTTCAATGTGCGCAATCTCGAACAGCCTACTGTCACGCACAGATTCACAGACTAGCAGCAAATAAACTGGAACAAAGCAGAATCAGTAAATTAATGCCCACTCTCCATTGCTATTCAATGAAGATCCCGCCTTCATTGCGCTTTGATCAATCTTTTTTTCCTCTGTGTGTGAAAAATTTGAGGTGCCGGTACGGCGCTCCGGACAGCTCTGGCCCAAGTCAAGCACTGGTTACGAATTCCAATTTGTTGTGGCTAGTGTTAGCTAGGTGGCTAAGTGGCTAATGTTAGCTAGGTGGTTAACATTAGCTAGGCTACGGGTTAGGGGTTAAGGTTAGGGTTAAAGTTAGTTGCTAATTAGCTAAAATACTAAAGTTGTCCGTGATGAGATTCAAAAACGCAAGCTAGGTAGCTAGACATTCGCGTTATATGCCCACCCACCATATTTGCACACACTGCATATATATTTTCTGTTGTATTTTTGGCTTTATGTTTTGTTTTACCCCATATGTAACTCTGTGTTGTTGTTTTTATCGCACTGCTTTGCTTTATCTTGGCCAGATCGCAGTTGTAAATGAGAACTTGTTCTCAACTGGCTTACCTGGTTAAATAAAGGTTAACAAATAAAAAATAAAACGTAATCCAAGTCTAAGCCGTTGGGGGGGAGGGGGGTACTAAGCTAACATATGGAATTGTTTTAAGATGGTCATACTATGGATCATTTAGTTATTTGATTTAGAATTTATGACCCCTTTAGGTATCCCCAAAATATTACAAAATTAATTGATTAAATATTCAATTTAGCCTTTACTACTATAGCCCATAGAAACTGTCACGATCATCGTAGAGAGTAGACCAATGCGCAGCGTTAGTTGCAAACATATTTTATTTATGTAATGAATGCACGAACAAAACAACAAAACGAAAACGTGACGTCCTCGGTCTAACACAACCGACACGGAAACAAACCAAACGGAACAAGATCCCACAAACACAAAGGGAAAACAGACAGTTTAAATATGGCTCCCAATCAGAGACAACCCGCAACAGCTGACACTCGTTGCCTCTGATTGGGAGCCACTCTGGCCAACATAGAAATACAACACTAGAACTACCACACAGAAAATAAACACATAGAAACTATACACCCTGGCTCAACATATAGAGTCCCCAGAACCAGGGTGTGACAGAAACACATTGAATAACACAGTCATAAATGGCAAAAAAAGACAGTAAAAAAAGAAATCATAAGGAATATGGTTTTGAAGTGTCTGTCCTATTGACCCCTTTCCAGTACACGACACACTGACGTCAGACACGACTTTTGGCTGCAGTAAAAAAGCCATCGCCATCTGGGCTTATTCAACATAGCCTAGATTTACGTTTTTATTACTTCTAAACAAAATAATTTTGGGGTGTTCTCATATGCTTACAATGATTTTGATTATTGCATGACCAGTCGCTAAGATTATATTTGGTTGTGATCTTTGCAAAATAACTGTTTTGGATGCAGCAGTTGTTAGCTAGAATGCTAACGCTCATTGACATAGACTGTAGGAAAAGCTAGCCAAAGAGACATTTTACTAGTTGAAGTTGAAGTGTTTTCTAAGTATAATGCAGTTGAATTTGCGATAATGACACAAACATTATATTAAGCAGGACATTCATATGAGCCTTAAAATCCAATTATAATCCAAAAGTTGTGTGAAATGTACTCATAAGCAACATGTAAATAGAGGCTTTTCTGCTGGCGTTTTATAAGAACTCCCCTATGTTCTTCCACCAACTTGCATGCATCGCCCTCGTGTGGCAATGTTTGCAAACACAGAAAGGGTTTGTATCTAGGAGATATAAGAAAGCCCAGGAAATATACAGTTGAAGTCAGAAGTTTACATACACTTAGGTTGGAGTCATTGAAACTCATTTTTCAACCACTCCACAAATTTCTTGTTAACAAACTATAGTTTTGGCAAGTCGGTTAGGACATCTACTTTGTGCATGACACAAGTAATTTTTCCAACAATTGTTTACAGACAGATTATTTCACTTATAATTCACTGTATCACAATTCCAGTGGGTCAGAAGTTTACAAACACTAAGTTGACTGTGCCTTTAAACAGCTTGGAAAATTCCAGAAAATGATATCATGGCTTTAGAAGCTTCTGATAGGCTAATTGACATCATTTGAGTCAGTTGGAGGTGTACCTGTGGATGTATTTCAAGGCATACCTTCAATCTCAGTGCTTCTTGTAGACCTCCACAAGTCTGGTTCATCCTTGGGAGCAATTTCCAAATGCCTGAAGGTACCACGTTCATCTGTACAAACAATAGTATGCAAGTATAAACACCATGGGACCACGCAGGCATCATACCGCTCAGGAAGGAGACGCGTTCTGTCTCCTAGAGATGAACGTACTTTGCAAATCAAGTGCAAATCAATCCCAGAACAACAGCAAAGGACCTTGTGAAGATGCTGGAGGAAATAGGTACAAACGTATCTATATCCACAGTAAAACGAGTCCTATATCGACATAACCTGAAAGGCCGCTCAGCAAGGAAGAAGCCACTGCTCCAAAACCGCCATAAAAAAGCCAGACTACGGTTTGCAACTGCACATGGGGACAAAGATCGTACTTTTTGGAGAAATTTCCTCTGGTCTGATGAAACAAAAATAGAACTGTTTGGCCATAATGACCATCGTTATGTTTGGAGGAAAAAGGGTGTGGGTTGCAGGCCGAAGAACACCATCCCAACCGTGAAGCACGGGGGTGGCAGCATCATGCTGTGGGGGTGCTTTGTTGCAGGAGGGACTGGTGCACTTCACAAAATAGATGGCATAATGAGGAAGGAAAACTATGTGGATATACTGAAGCAACATCTCAAGACATCAGTCAGGAAGTTAAAGCTTGGTCGCAAATGGGTCTTCCAAATGGACAATGACCCCAAGCATACTTCAAAAGTTGTGGCAAAATGGCTTAAGGACAACAAAGTCAAGATATTGGAGTGGCCATCACAAAGCCCTGACCTCAATCCTATAGAACATTTGTGGGCAGAACTGAAAAAGCGTGTGCGAGCAAGGAGGCCTACAAACCTGACTCAGTTACACCAGCTCTGTCAGGAGGAATGGGCCAAAATTCACCCAACTTATTGTGGGAAGCTTGTGGAAGGCTACCAATTTAAAGGCAATGCTATCAAATACTAATTACGTGTATGTACATTTCTGACCCACTGGGAATGTGATGAAATAAATAAAAGCTGAAATAAATAATTCTCTCTACTATTATTCTGAAATTTCACATTCTTAAAATAAAGTGGTGATCCTAACTGACCTAAAACATGGAATTTTTACTAGGATTAAATGTCAGGAATTGTGAAAAACTGAGTTTAAATGTATTTGGCTAAGGTGTATGTAAACTTCCGACTTCAACTGTATATATATATTTTTTGGACACATATTTAACCTCTTATTTTTGTTGGCACAAAACTACTGTACCTCCATACTTCCATTTGTTTGTATGGGCTACCTTCAGATGAGTCTGGTGACACTTGTGGGGGTCGTAGAGGCTGTTTGGATGCTATAGACATTTTCATGAGAAGACCGATTTGCGGGATGTCTCATGGTCTGACAAACACTGCTGTAGCTCGGCCATCTCCCACCGTAGATGGTGAAGGCCGACATAAGTGGATGCAGTGTATTGAGCTGCAGCCCATGCAAAAAACGTAATATCTCTAGCTTAAACTGACACATTTTGATGGGGATTTTTTATATTATTTTTTAAGTAACCTTCTGTCTTATGTAACCATACCAAACGTAACATATCTAATACTACTACTACAATACTAATTCGAGTGACCGGATTTACATTTACTATGTTACGTCTAGTCTGAGACCAGGCTGTAGGTTTGTGTACTACATCATCGCATCTGCGCGAGAGGACTCCTTGAAGGGGACAGAAACAAGCCGATGAAGCGGTGCACACACTGACACGATGGATTTCAATCTCAAAAAGCTTACTTCTGATGCAGGAGTCTTCTTCACCCGTGCAGTCCAGGTATTTAGGAAATGTGTTATTAGAAATACCATGAATAATTGTTTTTGTCGTGCTCTGACCAAGGTGCGTAGGCTGTAATGATCTTATTCCGAGGCGGATTGTAATGGGTCGTCCTTCCAATATAACGCTGCAAACACCAAACAGAAACGGTTACCTAAAACGTATTTATGAATAGGAAATGTTGTTCGTTTAGGTTTTTCTCACCGTTAACGTCATTGTAAACTGATAATTCTGGTTAAACCCTTCTCCATTATTTATGGCTGTTCTCGACCGTAGCGCGGAGGGGTGCATGTGACGGTCACAAGGATACGGGGCGGCGACTCCTCTAATCGCTACTGTACACTCACTGTAGGCTACTGTCAGAGAATCCTAGGGCTAGGCTGCTAGACCTGTCTGCTATAGATTTCTATGTATTTGGTTGTCATTGCTTGTCATTTCAGTCCTCACTGAAAAAAGGCAACATATTTTTGTATTATTCTGTATTGAGTGGCGTCTAATAATGGTGTGTGTAGCAGCCTATGTCTCATTCCTCAGTCATTGGTCCTATTCTAATCATAGGATTGACCTGTTTCCCTGTCAGGCGGCAGGTACAGTAATTTAGCGATTAGAGAGGCGAGCCAGCAGCCGGAGGGTTGCCATTTCGAATCCCGGGACCGACGGGAAAAATCTGTTGGGAAGTGAGCTGGCAACCAGAGGGTTGCTGCTATCATCCTAGATGCCATTGCCTGCAATTGTGCCGTTGAGCAAGGCACTTAACCCCCCCACAACAATAGCCCCCCTCTCCAAAACCTGTATGAATGTGTATGTGTATATACAGTGGATTCGGAAAGTATTCAGATCCTTTCCCTTTTTCCACATTTTGTTATGTCACAGCCTTATTATAAAATTGATGAAATCGTTTTTCCCCCTCAATAATCTACACACCATACCCCATAATGACAAAACAAAAACACGTTTTTAGAAAAATTTGCAAATGTATTAAAAATTAAACACAGAAATATCTTATTTACATAAGTATTCAGACCCTTTGCTATGAGACTCGAAATTGAGCTCAGGTGCATCCTGTTTCCATTAATCATCCTTGAGATGTTGGAGTCTTGATTAGAGTCCACCTGTGATAAATTCAATTGATTGGACATGATTTGGAAAGGCACACACCTGTCTATATAAAGTCCCACAGTTGACAGTGCATGTCAGAGCAAAAACCAAGTCATGAGGTCAAAGGAATTGTCCGTAGAGCTCTGAGACAGGATTGTGTCGAGGCACAGATCAGGGGAAGGGTGCCAAAAAATGTCTGCAGCATTGAAGGTCCCCAAGAACACCGTGGCCTCCATCATTCTTAAATGGAAGAAGTTTGGAACCACCAATACTCTTCCTAGAGCTGGCCACCCGGCCAAACTGAGCAATCGGGGGAGAAGGGCCTTGGTCAGGGAGGTGACCAGGAACCCAATGGTTACTCTGACAAAGCCAGAATGGTAGTGTCACATGACAGCCCGCTTGGAGTTTGCCAAAAGGCACCTAAAGGACTCTCAGACCATGAGAAACAAGATTCTCTGGTCTGATGAAACCAAGATTGAATTCTTTGGCCTGAATGCCAAGCGTCACGTCTGTAGGAAACATGGCACCGTTCCTACGGTGAAGCATGGTGGTGGCAGCATCATGCTGTGGGGATGTTTTTCAACGGCAGGCAGACTAGTCAGGATCGATGGAAAGATGAACAGAGCAAAGTACAGAGAGATCCTTGATGAAAACCTGCTCCAGAGTGCTCAGGACCTCAGACTGGGGCGAAGGTTCACCTTCCAACAGGAAAACGCCCCTAAGCACACAGCCAAGACCACGCAGGAGTGGCTTCAGGAAAAGTCTCTGAATGTCCTTGAGTGGCCCAGCCAGAGCCCGGACTTGAACCCGATCGAACATCTCTGGAGAGACCTGAAAATAGCGGTGCAGCGACGCTCCCCATCCAACCTGATAGAGCTTGAGAGGATCTGCAGAGAAGAATGGGAGAAACTCCCCAAAAACAGGTGTGCCAAGCTTGTAGCGTCATACCCAAGAAGACTGGAGGCTGTAATCGCTGCCAAAGGTGCTTCAACAAAGTACTGAGTAAACGGTCTGAATACTTACATAAATGTGATATTTTAATTGTATTTTTATACATTTGCAAAAAAATCTAAAAACCTGTTTTTGCTTTGTCATTATGGGGTATTGTGTGTAGATTGGTGAGGAAAAGCAACAGCTGTAACAGAATGTGGGAAAAAGTAAAGGGGTCTGAATACTTTCCGAATGCACTCTATATATATATATATATATATATATATATATATATATATACACACACACACACAGTGTGCAAACAATTTAAGGATACTTGCTCTTTCCATGACATAGCTTTCACCTGGTCAGTCTATGATCCCTTATTGATGTCACTTGTTAAATCCAGTCCAATCAGTGTAGCTGAAGGGGAGGAGACAGTTTTTTGAGGTTTGAGCATTTTTCACGCTCAACAGTTTCCCATGCGAATCAAGAATGGTCCACCACCCAAAGGACATCCAGCCAGCTTGATAACTGTGGGAATAACATGGGCCAGCATCCCTGTGGAATGCTTTCAACACCTTACCTTGTAGAGTCCATGCCCTGGTTCTTCCTTTACAATGGTAATCACTGAAGCATTTTCCTGTGTTCGGATGGTTTGGATTTGGGTTAGCAGTAACAGTCATTGTAACAGCCCTTTTTATACCATGTCCAGTTCCTATCTTCACATGCCATAAATCCCCCTGTGAGAAATAAACCTATTATTTTTCAACTTACCACACCACTGCATAGAAAGGAAGTCTGATGTAGTCCTACTGTGCTGTGAGACTAGCGCAGTGGCTGATATTGTCAGCACATTAGAGGGGATGTGGTTGCAGTACTTTTTAGGAGTAAATACGGTATATATTTCAATGTACTGCGTACAAAATATATTTCTAAACTACTGAAATGGGTTGGGTGTTATATTCACTCCAGATAAGGTGGTATTTCAAGCAAAGATACATTTATTAAAGCCTTATTATAGGCTTCTCCTTCTCCATTTTGCAGTGGAGCAGAAGTGGAAGTCCTCAGGCGATTGGTTAATCATGAGTGATAATGAGGGCGCTCAAGACGTCTTGTGATGCCAGATGCACTCCCAGTGTGGCTGCTGTACAATTACATAGCAGTCACTCCGGGAGCTTCTGCACTCTGCCATCCTCACCGTTCTCTGTCTGTCCTCACCGTTCTCTGTCTATCCTCACCGTTCTCTGTCTATCCTCACCGTTCTCTGTCTGTCCTCACCGTTCTCTGTCTGTCCTCACCGTTCTCTGTCTGTCCTCACCGTTCTCTGTCTATCCTCACCGTTCTCTCTGTCCTCACCGTTCTCTGTCTGTCCTCACCGTTCTCTGTCTATCCTCACCGTTCTCTGTCTGTCCTCACCGTTCTCTGTCTGTCCTCACCGTTCTCTGTCTATCCTCACCGTTCTCTGTCTGTCCTCACCGTTCTCTGTCTGTCCTCACCGTTCTCTGTCTGTCCTCACCGTTCTCTGTCTGTCCTCACCGTTCTCTGTCTGTCCTCACCGTTCTCTGTCTGTCTGTTCTGCTCCTCCCTCCACCTACACAGACACGACGTGGCGGTTGAGCTTAGGTTAGTTTTGTAGATTAGCTTTGTGTTGTAGTACGAGAGGTTAGGCTTAGAGGGCCTCAGCAGCCACAAGCTGCTCAAAATGGGCCATTCACTGAAACATTTCATAGCCAGACACAACCGATTCTGCTGGTCACAATTTGCCCAGCTGCCACTGACTTACAGAACAATGTTGTGTTTTGCCAATCATATAACGTATGCTGTCTTAGCCTACATTATTTAGGTGTATGTTTTGTCAGTAAATATTATTTATTCCTTTTGTCTCCAAGTTCACAGAAGAGAAGTTGGGCTCTGCGGAGAAGACTGAGCTCGATGCCCACTTGGAGAATCTGATTGCCCGGGCCGACTGCACCAAGAACTGGACTGAGAAGATCTTCAGGCAAACCGAGGTCTTGTTGCAGCCCAATCCAAGTAAGACCCAGTCCTATAGCAACCTATAGCTGGGTCCCAGACCTGTTTGTGCTGTCCTGCCAACTCCCATGGTCATTGCCAATGCCAAACAAGGCAGCACAAACAGATCTGGGACCAGGCTGAAAGGAGCCTTCATGGTGATGCCATTCTGTTTGTGTTTTGGGTTGTGAGTGCTAGCTAGCGTTTTTCTCTGGCTGTGTTTTGCCTACATGCATATGTCCAAATAAGTACTATTGAAGTATACAGTACATTGTGGCATTGGTCCCTTTGAGAGAAAGAAACCTAGTATGTTAGAAAACTCTAACCGTTGACTTTCTGACCCTCCATGCTACAGTTGACCACACTGGTAAGTCTGTCTCCGCTCTCAGTATGTAGTAATAGCAGTAGCAGTATCTGCAGTGTGCTTGAGGCTTCCCACCCCCATAAGACTTCCTATGGGGGTTAGTTGGAACATGTGGGATGATTTCATTTTGGACCTAAACCCTTAACATACTGCACCCCCTCAGTGATCACAGATCTGAAGGAGCTGGATAGGTGAATGCAATATGTTATGTGCTCTACTTTATCATATTGTTTACAACCTTTGCTTAGTCCTTTCACATCTTTGAACTGTGAAGAGGAAGGGGCTAGGTGCTGAAATGGGACTAGGCCCTTGTACTCCCATGATTGCCCATGATGGCTGGTGATAGATGGCTAATAGCTCCAATTGGTCCTTCTATCTCTGCTAAATTTCACTCTGTAAGGGACTTTCATTCTTAAGGTGACTTTCCATGCAAGGCCAAGTCCAAGGCCTGTTTGGTTGCTCTGACTTGAGAAATGCATACACAAGGGAAACTTAAGTGTAAATAGTGTCATTGATGTCAAATTCAATTGAGGTGTTGCACGAAAGTTAGTTGAAGAGTAATCTCTCGTGGACAGATTAAATGGGAAGTTACAACTTTCGCTAGAATTTTACTTCTGGGTAACCGAGATTAGTTGAGACTTATGTGTGCAAATCTCAAATCAGATTTGGGACTGTAATGATTTAGGCAAGGTAAACTGGGGTAGGAAGGGCTAATTGTGTTGAGTGCAGAGGAGGGGGGTCCCAAATGGCACCCTATTTCCAACAAAGTGCACTACTTTTTACCAGAGTCCTACAATATACACTGAGTGTACAAAACATTAGGAACATCTTCCTAATATTGAGTTGCACCCCCTTTTGCCCTCAGAACAGCCTCAATTCGTTGGGGCATGGACTCTACAAGGTGTCAAGCGTTCCACAGGGATGCTGGCCCATGTTGACTCCAATGCTTACTACTGTTGTGTCAAGTTGGCTGGATTCTTGAAACACGCATGAAAAAAGAAGCCTTTGTTTATCTGCTACATTTTCGGTGTAGAAAGCTGGATAGGTTCCAGAGAGAACTGCCACCCCCTCCATTTCACTCCCATACTGCGCCATTGTTTTGTGGCTTCTTCTGTAGTGCATTGATCAATATTGCCTTTCACTTTCCAACAACAAGCAGTATAACATTGTAGATAGGAATTGTGAACTGTCAAGTCTTGTTATTCATTGTCTGTCTATATGTACGCTACTACATTCATCTTTATATAATTAATTATATTTTGTATAATCAATAACTCGTCCATTTTGGAATTTGTATTGCTCAGTAGAGAGTTGTTTTGGTGTGGTTTTAAAACTCATCGCTTTGAAAATGGAAGAGACATTTAGATCATTTCATTGCACCTGAAGGGCTTTTCTCCAGTGATGAATTATGTAGGCTAATTAATGAATGCCTCTGTTGAAAGGGCACAGACAAAGGCTGAGAAGACAGGTGATTCATGTTTTTCGAGGGTGGTTGGGGTGGGGGGGGGGGGGTTACATCATTGTATTACTTGTGTTTATTTGTACCTTGAAATTGGTTGTTTTTCCAAGCATCTTTTTTTTATTTATTGGGTTTTTGGCACAAAGGAGAAGAGCTACATTTACTGATTGCGGTACCCAATTGCTGTCTGGGGTGAACTATCTTTTTCTTTACTTTTACACAGGTGCGCGTATAGAGGAGTTCTTCTATGAGAAGTTAGATAAGAAGATCCCATCCAGGACAACCAATGGAGAGCTGCTGGGACAGTATATGCTGGACGCTGCTAAAGACTTTGGCCCAGGGACCCCATATGGTAGGTGGAACTAGTGGAGGTGTGGGTCTTTTGCTGTTTTGTCACTTGCGGCTGTCAAACGTGCGTTCACAAACACTCATCAAAAGGTGCCGTAACACTATTCTGCTATTTGTTCTGCAACACCCTCTTGTTTTTGAAAGTCATTATTCCTGAACCTTAGTAATCATTGAAATCTACATAATGTATTGATGCCAAAGTGTCTGGGCGGGCTGGCAATGCTGCCCACACTGTACCAGGTGCTCAGCTGTCTGTGTGTGGTTGGCACAGAAACAAACAACATGCCATCAGCCTCCATCAGCTGCCCAGGCCTCCATTTTATTAAGAACATAATGGCCGCGTTCCAGGCCGACTATATTGCAGTCACCTGCCAGATCTCACAATGCCTGAATAGGTGTTTAGTATATCAGATATCTTCATACATGACATAGCAATCTGATGCCCAACTGCAATGTATGATGTAGACCACGGCCAAAATGACTCAAGCTGTCCAAATGGGGATGCCCAAGTCTATTAGGAAATAGGAATGTGTTCAACCTGAACACGATACGAGCATTCTTGAAGTGAAGTGGAATCTCTTAATGTTTCTCTTTCTAGGCACATTTTTCTGGGATTTTCTCTCAATAATCTAAGTAATGGTTGGACACATTGTACTGTATGTTAGAGCAGGGTTTCTTAAACTCTGCTCTAGGCATGTGTGAGGAGGACGCGAGTTATGAGAATAATTCTATAATCACACACTATTTCTTCTTAATTTGGGTCTTTGGAGGAGGATTTCGGTCACGGAAGGACACTAATTTAGTCATTTGGCTCTTTAGCTGAAAAGGTTTAAGAACCGCTGACATAGGGTAACATTGACCACAATGCTCTAAGTGGGCCAGTGTATCGATGATGATCTTTGGGTGCTGTAGCCCAGGAGTAATCCAACCTGAATGAAAACGATAGCCAACACTCGCCAGTTATGATAAACACTCCAAGAAATGCAGCTTGTGACTGTTTTGTCTCCCATAGACTGTGATCCAGTGTGATAATGGATAGTTGTGTCTAGGCCAAGGGCAGACCCTTATCTTAGACAGAGTTATAGCTCTGATGCTGGCTTTGATTACCTAGGAAGCTGGCGGGATGCCCACTCCTCTCACAACCAATCTGACCCTTCACACAGTGGTTTGATGATACCATACCTCACAATTTAGCAGCTTGGCTTGGAACGCTGTGTGTGTGTACATATGCGTGTGTGTGTGTGCACTATTGCCACAGTGTCCCTAGAAATTCCCTTCAGCGGCAGTTTCTTACTGAAAATCCCCAGTCTCTCAAATGGATTATATGTCAGTCTATCTATCCATCCATCCATCCTTTATAGTGGCAGTAAAGTGTGGTTAATGCAGTGAAGCGTGGAGAGATGCTGAGTTGTGGGGGAGGGTTGATATAATGCATGGCTATAATGATTTATGCTTATACCATTTATATGTTTATACCATGTTTATACCGTTGTTGAATACTTGTTTCTGATTGGCTTGAAGAGCATTCTAGAGCGTGCATTATTTCCCTATAACGTACGGTATATCAGCACGGTAGAATTCAATGGCTATAGTTCATTCTTACATGTTCTATGTTTGTGCTGATTTTGAAAGCAAAAGTCGAATTGAAAACATTATTGGCATTGTTGAATTGGATTACTGTACTGGAAGGTTTTTTCACTGGGAGTGGAGGGGACGGAGTCTCTGGCTCCCTCTCGCTCTCTCCTCCCTCCACTGGGTCAATGACTGGGCAGTTCTGATCTGATGAGTGGGCTCAGTTCCATTCTAACTCCCTGTTAATTCAGGAAACTGAATGAATGTCATGGAATTAAATGTACTGGTCCGGTATGTCCATTCGTCTCCTGAATGGACTGGAATTATGTCCACTGTAATCAACCTAATCATCCACTTATGTAATCAACCTAATCATCCAAGTGTGTGTGTAACAGGCAGTACCCTGATCACGGTGGGGGAGTACCAGAGGAGACTGGGAGGGGCGGAGCGGGAGTTCCTCCAGACCTCGGCCATCAACTTCCTCACTCCTCTCCGCAACTTCCTGGAGGGAGACTGGAGAACCATATCTGTGAGTATACTGTGAAATCCCAAATCAACTCCTAGCCCCTTATCCCTAGCCCCTACCCCTAAGGCACTTCAACCTGAAGGGGGTAGATAAGTGTAAGTGTTCAGAGGTAAGAACCTACCTTAGCCTACAGTGGTTGCGCCCCCGCGTAAAGCTAATTAACATAATAAAAAAATCCCCATCAAAATCCTTCTGTTTAAGCTAGAAATATCTGTTTTTTTGTCTTCTCACAAAATCATATGTAGCTTCCAAACGGTTTGGCCTCCGTTTTGCTCTAGGACGCCCACACGCCTCACAAGACTCGTCTGAAGTCGGTACAGCCTCCGAACGGTTTGGGCTACACACTAATATGACCCCTGTGGAAAGCTGAGACTCTCAATGGTGTTCTACGTTTTGCTCTAGGATGCTCACAAGACTCATCTGAAGGTCCCCGGTACCAGTTTTAAAAATGAATGGAAGTATACAGTGCATTCGGAAAGTATTCAGACCCCTTTTTCCACATTTTGTTACGTTACAGCCTTATTCTAAAATTGATTAAATAAATAAAAAATCCTCATCAATCTACACAATAATTGTTCTGAAGTGTCTGTCCTATATCTGAGAGAGATAAGAAAGATCAGGAAACAATTATTTTATTATTGTATTTATCCCCTTATTTTAGGCACTAAACTATCTCCATATACAGTGCATTTGGAAAGTATTCTGACCTTGGAAAGTATTTTGACTTTTTCCACATTTTGTTATGTTACAGCCTTATTCTAAAATGGATTAAATCGTTTTTTCCCCTCAATCTACACACAATACCCCATAATTACAAAAAAAATACTGAAATATCACATTTACGTAAGTATTCAGACCCTTTACTCAGTACTTTGTTGAAGAACCTTTGGCAGCGATTACAGCCTTGAGTCTTCTTGAGTACGACGGTACAAGCTTGGCACACCTGTATTTGGGGAGTTTCTCCCATTCTTCTCTGCAGATCTTCTCAGCTATTTTCAGGTCTCTCCAGAGATGTTCGATCGGGTTCAAGTCCGGGCTCTGGCTGGGCCACTCAAGGACATTCAGAGACTTGTCCGGAAGCCACTCCTGCGTGGTCTTGGCTGTGTGCTTAGGGTCGTTTTCCTGTTGGAAGGTGAACCTTCGCCCCAATCTGAGGTCCTGAGCACTCTGGAGCAGGTTTTCATCAAGGATCTCTCTGTACTTTGCTCCGTTCATCTTTCCGTCGATCCTGACTACTCTCCCAGTCCCTGCCGCTGAAAAACATCCCCACAGCATGATGCTGCCACCACCATGCTTCACCGTAGGAATGGTGCCATGTTTCCTCCAGACGTGACGCTTGGCATTCAGGCCAAAGAATTCAATCTTGGTTTCATCAGACCAGAGAATCTTGTTTCTCATGGTCTGAGAGTCCTTTAGGTGCCTTTTGGCAAACTCCAAGCGGGCTGTCATGTGCCTTTTACTGAGGAGTGGCTTCCGTCTGGACACTCTACCATTCTGGCTTTGTCAGAGTAACCATTGGGTTCTTGGTCACCTCCCTGACCAAGGCCCTTCTCCTCCGATTGCTCAGTTTGGCCAGGCGGCCAGCTCTATGAATAGTTTTGGTGGTTCCAAACTTCTTCCATTTAAGAATGATGGAGGCCACTGTGTTCTTGGGGACCTTCAATGCTGCAGACATTTTTTGGCACCCTTCCCCAGATCTGTGCCTCGACACAATCCTGTCTCGGAGCTCTACGGACAATTCCTTTGACCTCATGACTTGGTTTTTGCTCTGACATGCACTGTCAACTGTGGGACCTTATAAAGACAGGTGTGTGCCTTTCCAAATCATGTCCAATCAATTGAATTTATCACAGGTGGACTCTAATCAAGACTCCAACATCTCAAGGATGATCAATGGAAACAGGATGCACCTGAGCTCAATTTTGAGTCTCATAGCAAAGGGTCTGAAGACTTATGTAAATAAGTTATTTTTGTTTTTTATTTGTAATACATTTGCAAACATTTCTAAAAACCTGTTTTCGCTTTGTCATTTTGGGGTGTTGTGTGTAGATTGAGGAACATTTTGAATTTAATCCATTTTAGAATAAGGCTTTAACGTAACAAAGTGGAAAAAGGGAAGGGGTCTGAATACTTTCCGAATGCACTGTATATGTTGTGCCACTGGCCTGAGATGATTGAAGTTCAACATTTAGCCTAGTAGGCTCACATTAACTAACGTTAGCTAGCTAGCTAACTTACCTGGTTCATTGTTGCCCATACGAGGAAGTTAGGCTAGCAACCATTTTAGCTAGGGAGCCTATGAAAACTAAACTAAAAGTGTACTGCATGACAGGGCCATAGACTATTTTGCCAACATGAAAGAGAGGAGGATGGAATTGGCGTTCAACTAGTCTACAACTAGTCTCTAAAACAACGTTGGAGGTGGATTATGGTAGAGAAATGAACATTCAATTCTCTGGCAAAAGCTCTGGTGGACATTCCTGCAGTCAGCATGCCAATTGCATGCTCCCTCAACTTGAGACACCTGTTTCATTGTGTTGTGTGACAAAACTGCAATTTTTAGAGTGCCATTTTATTGTCCCCCAGCACAAGGTGCGTCTGTGTAATGATCATGCTGTTCAACCACATATGTCAGGTCGATGGATTATCTTGGCAAAAGAGAAACACATTTGTGCACTGCATTTGAGAGAAATAAGCTTTTTGTGCATATGGAACATTTCTGGGATCTTTTATTTCAGCTCATGAAGCATGGGACCAACACTTTACATGTTGCATTTATATTTTTGTTCAGTGTAAATCAGTAGCTGTTTAGTAAACTGTCAAACATTAACTTGCTTGACCACGCTGCAGGTCATATAACTATTTGCTTTGTGATGATACAAACGTATGTGTAGTTGAATGTATTCCGCCGCTGTGTGACTGTCTTTTTGTTGTCACGGCCTTATTGTATATCACGGTGGCATATGAACGAATAGGTTATAGAGCAAATAACGCAATTATCACACCATAGGTTGTAATATGTTTTTTTACTGGCTTGGCTTCCTCAGTGATTTTGTCCACGCACCGCTACTGCGGATGGAGCCATCCAATTGGTACCTTTTGGGTGGCTCAAACCGTTGTAATGTTGTCAAGGAGTGCGGTCACGTGCTGAGTTCGAGCCAGGCATGAGTCGGGGGGTGGTACTCGCTAAGCAAGCAACATGACGTCCGTAATATAAGCAACCCAGCAATTTCAGAGGGCAAAGTGGAGCTGTTTACCAAGTGGATACAAGTGGCTCTGGGTTAGCACAGAGGAGAAGTAGTGGTGGTCTGGTTTTGTATCACTCACTTCCTCTTTGTCTTCCTCCCCGGTGCAGAAAGAGAGACGTCTCCTGGAGAACCGGCGGTTGGACCTGGACATCTGTAAAGCACGTGTCAAGAAAGCCAAGCAGGCCGAGGCTAAAGCGGCGGTGAGTCTTCCTCCTCAGACGCCCCTCCCCTTATGACTGGTGTTCCCAGTTTGATTGATTTCAGGCCTGACATGGGACATACAATTCCTGATATACAATTCTAGAGTTGATGAAAATGATTTTAGTCCTCTTGGCTCTGTTTATTTCCCGGTCTATCCATTGACTGTATTACTTGGGGGGTTGCTTTGCCTCAAAATAAGGCGATTGTAAAGCAGTTTAGTTATTCAACCAATACTACCTCCAATCACTGAATGCTTTTGATTTGGTTGTTCTACCACAGATACGCTGGTCTATGAGTGGAGAATGAACACAACACAGTTTAACTCACATAATATGAGCTCACTGCTTGTCCTTCCCCCAAGCTTTCTCAAATGTGCTGTCATAGTAGATCAACTCCAACTGGGACATCAACATAAATCAATAGACCATTAAACCAGCTACACCAATAGAAATGGCCATAGGGGTGGGCAGGGATGGAGCGTGGCGGATTGTCATCAATGTCTAGGGGTCTACCTTTGACTCACCTTCTCTGCAAATTTTACATGGGGCATGGCAATTGTCTCTCCCAAACTAGAATCCCCCTTTGCCCTCCAACCTCTCTCATTCCCTTCAGTTTTGCAGGTGGAGAGCAACAGTACCCTCTGCTGACTAACTTTGGACTAACATGTTTCTCTGTTATCATTTGCGCAGTGTGAGGGAGATGTAAGTATTGACGAGAGTGTTGTATTTTCAGCGAATCTCGCTTGCCTCTTTTCTCCCATTTTATTTTTGTAATTGAGTGCTGTTCGGGGCATCCTCCCTCTCTTTCAGACCATCCATGCACCACAATATACTGTATAGCCCCAAAGAGAAGTTGAATGGATTTGTTTCAGTAATGATGCCTAGAGATGGTCATATATGAAAGGCGGAAAATAAAAAATTAAATCAGTTGACTTCACCAAACAAAATACTTTGGATGGTACACTGGCGCAACAAAGTTGATGATGTGGAACTGAGACTGGACATTTTTAGACTGTTGTTGTTTTAAGTGGCCTCAGTGTTTCTCCAAGGTCCACCCGCCTCATCCTCTGGGGCCATTGAAGCTGATTCAGGGGCCTCTGGACCCTTTGAAACAATACTCCATTGTCCCATCAGTTGGAAAACCCTACTCATTCCCACACTCTCACATCCTGAAGACTGATGGGAGTGATGGGCAGTATCCAGCCAGTCTGCTGTCCATTCCACAGGTTCAATGGTCAGGTTTGAACAGAAGACAATGCAAAACTAAAAATGTCTGCCAGCAGTATAATGATACCTGAAAATTGAACCTGGCTTTGAAAACGTGCATGGCACTTGATGCAAATAAATATTTGTGTAAGCTCTTCGAATCCGTTCATGCCTCATCGTGTGGAGGTAGTATTTAATCCTCATCACTGGCGCTGCGTGACAAAAGAGAAGTTACTCATGCCATCCACAAGGCCTCTAATTTCTCTTAACATCATAAAACAAAAATAGGCTGCGCACCGCACTGCTACTTGCACTGCACAGTCCTGGGCCTATATCCACAAAGTGCCTCAGAGTAGGAGTGCTGATCTAGGATCAGGTCCCCACCTGTCCATATAATATTATTCATGATGATCTAAAAGACTAAACTGATCCTAGATCAGCACTCCTACTCTGAGGCACTTTGTGGATATGGGCCCTGAGCTGAGGCCTTCTGTATGTGAGAACGCTCATGCCCTCGAGTGTCTGCTACTGTCAGAGCCAGGTCTGTAGAACTCTGGGAGCAGCTGTATGTAGCCATAATTAGCTTAGCATGCTAAGGCAGCTTCTGTGTGTATGGAGGACATGTTGGAGCCCCGTCTTCCATGAACTGCAGCTTTGCTTCTCCATCCCAGACTCCTGTGGGAACTGACCATTTGCTTTATTTGTTTGTGATCTTGTTTTCTTCTTCTAATTTCTTCTCCCTTTCTAGCTTATTTTCATTCTTCTTCTTCCTCAGTGTGCTGTTTGTTGGAGCTGCTTGTGTTGATGCGATGCATGACTGTATGACTTTGTTACCCCCCTCCTCCTCTGCCTGTAGGCCGAGCCCGATTTTCAGGAGACTAGGCCTCGAAATTATGTTCTGTCTGCGAGCGCATCTGCGGTAAGACGCCCACAGACAAAGGAGACTCATGCTGAGAGATGCATAAACACAAAAACACACAGGCTATACTCCATAGAATATGTACAATGGCACGCACACACACACAAAAATACACAGCATTAGATGCACAAATTCTGGTTTATTTTAGTCTTTCAACACAAGTTTAGTGCACTTCATGGCCTACGTCACAGGTTAGCTTTTATTGAATATATCCAGTCTTTGTGGATAACAATTTGGGTGAGACTGTTAGGAAGAGACAGACAGAGGGAGACAGAGAGTAAACTATCCTCAAACTAATTCTCTATCAGATACAGAGGTACCATAATCTGGAATTCTTATCTTCACATTGCCAAAACCTCATCATCCCTCAATAACTTCAAGCGTAGACTGGGGGTCAGCCTGATGAACCAAACGACTCAGTAATCTCCTCCATATAGCCCAACTCTCACACACTCACATTTAAACAAGACATATACTGTTTATTATTTTTGGTGATTGCTGAGCAGTTCATTTTTCCATTTATGATTAGTAGGTTTTGTTATCTGTTTTAACAAACTTTTTAATTTTTTACTTATGTATTGTATGTTGTCTTTTTGTGGTGTGGTTTTTCTATAAGCCCTTGGGCTTCCAAACTGCACACTGATTTTGATTTATTTGGTTTTATATTTATTGTTGTCTATCACTTATTTTCTTTGATGCAAATAAATTAAACCTTAAAATTAAACCTAAAAACAGCAAAGCAGTGGTGGCTGGGATAGTTGGGATCTGGAAGATTCCAAAGAGTCTGCAAATGTGATGGATCAGAGGAAGGTATATATACGTTTATACTGTTTAGAGCATATCTCAACAATACTAGACGGGATACAATCCCCCCCCCCCCCCCCCCCCACTGCTAGAAGAAATGGTGCTATATAGAACCAAAAAGTGTTCCATGGCTTGCTTCATACAGATCAGTGTGGTTCAGTCGGTAGAGCTTGGCACTTGCAACACCAAGGGTGTTGGGTTTTATCCCCGCTGGAGCCACCCATACATAAAATGTATGCACGCATGACTGTAAGTCGCTTTGGATGAAAGCGTCTGCTAAATGGCTTATATTATTATATATAGCTATATAGAACTGCTATGAAGCACCTTTTATTTTCAGCAGTGTAGTTACTAGCTCAATGGTACTGTGGTATTGTAGGGTGTTACTTGCCCCATTGCCTGCACTCTTGAGGCCCTTAGCGGGTGTGTATGTATTGTAGAGCCCCCCTACCCTCCCTCTCCCAACATGATGGACGAAATAGACCCCCATCACCTCAACGCTCTGATGGAATCCAGACAAACTTAAGCATCTGAATTTCCTGACAACGGTCTTGATTAATTAGTTCAATCATGGAGAGGCCTAACTGAATGAACAATAGACTGAATGCAAATACGAAGGTTTATTAAATTAGAATTGGGGGATGGCCTCGTCTCTGAGGGATGACGCCCGGAGCCAGATAGCCCTTTGGTGGACAGCTGGCCAGGAGATTGCAGGGGTTAGGATCTCCTATCTACCTCATTTTTGCCACCATGCAGCTAGCCAAACAAAAAGGGTCCGACATACCACTTTGATACATCTGTTTTGCTCCTGATGTTGTCACTGTCTTTGTTATCGCTACTGGTTAGGTAACTCTGTCACATTCGTCAGTCTGTTTTTGGAGGAGAAGGGTTTGTTCGTGGTAGTCGTGTTTATGATGAATGCCAGCGATGAAGACGTGCCTGGCCATTCTCTTTTCAGTCCAACACGTTGGACTATATTATTTGTTTTTGTCAGTTGTTGTGTCACAGGGTTGTGCGTTTGTCTTAGTCTATAATGCGAGATTCTGTTGTTGTAATTGTCAAACAGATGGTTGTGTATAGTAGGCCGTTGTTGTTGTTGAAAAAGCTGAAGATTTGAATCCTCTTCGTGACCAAAACACTGTGTGTGTTCACATCCTCCCCCATGTTTGCCCTTATTGAGGTGTTCTTGTGTTTCTCCTTCGAGAATCAATTCCTCAGCTGCTTAGAAGTCCGGGGGCATGTTTCCCTTCGAAATATAATCTAATAGATTCTATTTCTATGATGTTTCCCATCAGTTTGGCTGAACCTCCCAGGGCTTTGTCATGCCGTCTGTGTACTGTCCACCCAAACTACGTGTCCCCCTGTCATTTTAATTCTGCTAGTCCCACAGAAATGTCATTTGGCTATACTTATCGTATAGTAGAGGTGTAATAAATACCCTGTAACAGGGCTATTACAGTTAAGTACATGCAGTTATAGAATAGCAAGTTACTATTGCCTGTGTCTAGTGTGAACTGCTTCCCTACATTTAAAAGTGACTCTTGACTCACGTCACATACGTAACAGTCCTTTCAACAAAATAATCATGTTTGTAATCTTTGGCTTCTCCCAGACAGTGAATGTAAAATATTTTTTGGCGATTCTTCAATGGCAAGACATGGCTACATGGGGCTAGACTATTATTGTATGGAGGGGGGGGGGGGGATTCTTCCCAGCTTACTACATGGCCTAGACTATTTATTGTTATGGAGGGGGGGGGGGGGGGGATTCTTCCCAGCTACTACATTGGCTAGACTATTATTGTATATGGAGGGGGGGGGGGGGGGGATTCTTCCCAGCTAACCTACATGGCTAGACTATTAGTGTATGGAGTGGGGGGGGGGAATCTTCCCAGCTGACTACATGGCTAGAACTATTATTGTTATCGAGGGGGGGGGGTGGGATTCATTCCACAGCTAAACTACATGGACTAGACTATTTATTGTTATGGAGTGGGGGGGGGGGGGGGGATTCTTCCCAGCTTACTACATGGCTAGACTATTATTGTTATGGAGGGGGGGGGGGGGGGACGGGGGGGGGGGGGGGGTGATTCTTCCCAGCTTACTACATGGACTAGACCTTATCTGTTATGGAGGGGGGGGGGGGGGATTTTTCCCAGTTACGACATGGCTAGACTATTATTGTTTATGGGGGGGGGGGGGGGGGGGGATTCTACCAGCTTATTACATGGCTAGACTATTATTGTTATGGAGGGGGGGGGGGGATTCTTCCAGATTACTACATGGCTCGACGATTTTGTTGGAGGGGGGGGGGGGGGGATTCTTCCCAGCTTACTACTATGGCTAGACCTATTATTGTTATGGAGGGGGGGGGGGGGGGGGGGGGTGGGGGGGGGGGGATTTATTCCAGCTTACTACATGGACTAGACTATTATGTTATGGAGGGGGGGGGGGGGTGGGGAGGAGTCTCCCAAGATTACTACATGACTAGACTATATTGTACTGGAGGGTGGGGGGGGGGGGGGGGGGATTCTTCCCAGCTACTACATGCTAGACTATTATGGGTATGGGGGGGGGGGGGGGGGGATTCTTCCCAGCTTACGACATGCTAGACTATTATTGTTATGGAGGGGGGGGGGGGGGGGGGGGGGGGATTCTTCCCAGCTTACTACATGGCTAGACTATTATTGTTATGGAGGGGGGGGGGGGGGGGGGGGATTCTTCCCAGCTTACTACATGTTTAGACTATTATTGTTATGGAGGGGGGGGGGGGGGGGGGGTTCTTCCCAGCTTACTACATGGCTAGACTATTATTGTTATGGAGGGGGGGGGGGGGGGATTCTTCCCAGCTTACTACATGGCTAGACTATTATTGTTATGGGGGGGGGGGGGGGGGGGGGGGGGGATTCTTCCCAGCTTACTACATGTTTAGACTATTATTGTTATGGAGGGGGGGGGGGGGGGGGATTCTTCCCAGCTTACTACATGTTTAGACTATTATTGTTATGGAGGGGGGGGGGGGGGGGGGGTTCTTCCCAGCTTACTACATGGCTAGACTATTATTGTTATGGAGGGGGGGGGGGGGGGGGATTCTTCCCAGCTTACTACATGTTTAGACTATTATTGTTATGGAGGGGGGGGGGGGGGGGGGTTCTTCCCAGCTTACTACATGGCTAGACTATTATTGTTATGGAGGGGGGGGGGGGGGGGATTCTTCCCAGCTTACTACATGACTAGACTATTATTGTTATGGAGGGGGGGTTCTTCCCAGCTTACTACATGGCTAGACTATTATTGTTATGGAGGGGGGGGGGGGGGGGATTCTTCCCAGCTAACTACATGACTAGACTATTATTGTTATGGAGGGGGGGGGGGGGATTCTTCCCAGCTTACTACATGTTTAGACTATTATTGTTATGGAGGGGGGGGGGGGGGGGGGGGGGGGGGGGGGATTCTTCCCAGCTAACTACATGACTAGACTATTATTGTTATGGAGGGGGGGGGGGGGGGATTCTTCCCAGCTTACTACATGGCTAGACTATTATTGTTATGGCTGGGGGGGGGGGGGGGGGATTCTTCCCAGCTTACTACATGGCTAGACTATTATTGTTATGGAGGGGGGGGGGGGGGGGATTCTTCCCAGCTTACTACATGGCTAGACTATTATTGTTATGGAGGGGGGGGGGGGGATTCTTCCCAGTTTACTACATGGCTAGACTATTATTGTTATGGAGGGGGGGGGGGGGGGGATTCTTCCCAGCTTACTACATGGCTAGACTTTTATCAGAACACTGAGTCAAAAAGGGAATGGGGCCGTTGTCTCGGAGACGGACTCATGAGACTGCTCTGGGGAGGAAGTCATGATGTGGATGTAGAACCCCACAAGGTCTGTTGTGTGCTGTCATCATTGTTGGTCTGAGAATTTCTCTTGTCTCCTTTCTTGTTGTCATGCTGCTTATTCCAGCTGTGGAGTGAGGAAGTGGACAAAGTAAGTATCACTTAGTAAGATTGGTGTTCAACAACACAGCCTAAAACGTATGGAGTGATTTTATTTTAAATTTTTGGCACTATTGTCACTCCATACTTAAGGTTGGACTGCTTTTGGTGTGTGTGCAAGCAGGTAGGTATGTGTGTCCATGTTTGTCTGTCTGTACAGTTCTATACAGTGACCTCCAAAAGTATTGGGACAGTGACACATTTGTTGTTGTTTTGGCTCTGTACTCCAGCGCTTTAGATTTGAAGTGATACAATGACTATCAGGGTTAGTGCAGAGTGTCAGCTTTAATTTGAGGGTATTTTCATCCATATTGGTTTAAATTAATGGTAAATAATGTATTGTCATTTGAGTCACTTTTATTATGAATACAATAGTGTTTAGAAACATATTCTATTTTTATTTACAATAAAAGTGACTCCAAAATGATATCTACCATTTAATTAATATTGGGCACAAAATACTCTGAAACACAACTAAAACAAACATAAATGCATCCAACAAATGTGTAGAGTCACAAGCTTAATGTAATCATTGCGTGAATATGGGACCAAATACAAAAAGTGCTGTAATTTCTAAACGGTTCACCCGATATGGATGGAAATACCCTCAAATTAAAGCTGGAGTAAAGAGCAAACAAATAAACCAATGTCATTGTCCCAATACTTTTGGAGCTCACTGTACATGCATGTGTGCATATACACTGAGTGTACAAAACATTAAGGACACCTGCTCTTTCCATGTCATAGACTGACCAGGTGAATCCAGTTGAAAGCTATGATCCCTTATTGATGTCACTTGTTAAATCCACTTCAGTCAGTGTAGATGAAGGGGAGGAGACAGGTTAAAGAAGGATTTTTAAGCCTTGAGACAATTGAGACATGGATTGTGTATGTGTGCCATTCAGAGGGTGAATGGGCAAGACAAAATATGTAAGTGCCTTTTGAACGGGGAATGGTAGTAGGTGGCAGGTGCACCGGTTTGTATCAAGAACTGCAACGCTGCTGGGTTTTTCACGCTCAACAGTTTCCCATGTGTATCAAGAATGGGCCACCACCCAATGAACATCAAGCCAATTTGACACAACTGTGGGAAGCATTGGAGTCAACATGGGCCATCATCCCTGTGGAACGCTTTCGACACCTTGTAGAGTCCATGCCCCAACGAATTGAGGCTGTTCTGAGGGCAAAAGGGGGTGCAACTCAATATTAGGAAGGTGTTCCTAATGTTTTGTACACTCAGTGTATACTGTAGGAATCTGATCAAAAGTAGTGCACTTTGTAGGAAATAGGGTGCCATTTGGGACCCTCATCCTCTGCACTAAACACAATTAGCCCTTCCTACCCCAGTTTACCTTGCCTAAATCATTACAGTCCCAAATTTGATTTGAGATTTGTACACATAAATCTCTTCAACTAATCTCAGTTACCCAGAAGTAACATTCTTGCAAAAGTTGTCACTTCCCGTATAATCTGCCCACGAGAGATTACTCAACTAACTTTCGTGCAACACCTCAATTGAATTTGACATCAATTACACTATTTATGCTTAGAGAGGGGGGGTGCAACTCAATATTAGGAATGTGTCCTTAATGTTTTGTACACTCAGTGTATGTGGGTGTTCATTGAGGCTGTCATGTGGTCTCTCCCTTCTTCTCCTATAGGCGGAGCAGGAGCTGCGTGTGGCTCAGACGGAGTTTGACAGACAGGCCGAGGTCACACGGCTGCTACTGGAGGGCATCAGCAGTACACATGTGAGTCCAGAGACACCACACACACACACTAGTCACGGAAAGCCCAGACCTAGGGAAACAGCACTAGGTCTGGGGAGGATGCTGGATTCTCTTGGGCATTTCGAAAGGGGGAAGAAAAATTGTTCTGGAGAGGGTCCTCTTTAGACAGACAATTCTCCCAACAAATTACGAGTTTGGGTAGGTGGGCCAAACCTGAAAAATCGAACCCTTTTCGTAGCCTTTAGGTAGAATTGCCAGAATGTAGGTTCTCCCGAGTGGCGCAGCGGTCTAAGGCACTGCATCGCAGTGCTAGAGGCGTCACTACAGACCCGGGTTCGATCCCAGGCTGTGTCGCTGCCGGCCGTGACCGGGAGACCCACGAGGCGGTGCACAATTGGCCCAGCGTCATCTGGGTTAGGGGAGGGTTTGGCCGGCCGAGATGTCCTTGTCCCATCGCGCTCTATGACTCCTTGAGGCGGGCCGGGCGCATGCACGCTGACTCGTGTTGCCAGTTGTACGCTGTTTCCTCCGACACATTGGTGCTGCTGGCTTCCGGGTTAAGTGAGTAGTGTGTCAAGAAGCAGTGCGGCTTGGCAGGGTCGTGTTTCGGAGGACGCATGGCTCTCGACCTTCGCCTCTCCCGAATCTGTACGGGAGTTCGTAGTTGCAGCGATGGGACAAGACTGTAACTACCAATTGGATATCAAGAAATTGGGGAGAAAAAGGGGTAAAAAAATAGAAAATGAATGTCACGAATCGAAACCAAAGATTGCAGGCTAAACCTTTTCAGTGGTTTTAGTGAAGGAAGATGATGCCAATAGCCACTTGCGAAATGCACTCATTAAAAATAACCTCTGCGTTCTCCATCATGCTAGCTAGCTACTACTTGGTGTCCAGTGGAGATGCTTACTCTAGCCTAGGGCAACAAGTGGATAAAGTGGGGATGTCACAGGATAAGACCCATACTGTCTGTCCCAACTAATGCAGCTACAGATGTGTTTTCTGGAACATTGGTACATTGTTGGAGGCAACCCATCTGCCTAGAGAGACCACACACTAACTACTGTAACAGACCTGTTTCCTTTCATATACTTTAGGTGGGCTCGATTTAGTTTGCCTGGCGTGCTGTGTGGGCGGGAGTTCCGCATTTGGAATTTCCAGTAGTTGCATTTTGGTGAATAATGGACGGAGTCAGGCGCAGGAGTAAAATCACGAAATGCAGAGTTTATTCCTTACAGCAGTTGAATGCGCTAACAGCGCCACTCGAAACAGGTACAGGGGAAAACAATCCAACCTGACCAAACACAGTCTCGGAAAATATAACAACCGTAATGACAAAGGGGAAAATCAACCCTGGCACAAAATACATGAGCAAGAATCTCAACGAGCTACTGTCTTCCCACAATACACAATTACAAGGGGACAGAGGAAACACTTATACCCATACTAATTAGGGGAATGAGCACCAGGTGTGTGTGATTGACAAGACAAGACATGACAAGTGGAGTGATGAGAATGGGAGCGGCAGTAGCTAGTAAGCCGGTGACGACGAACGCCGAAACCTGCCCGAACAAGGAGGGGAGGCAGCCTCGGCGGAAGTCGTGACATGCATTGGGCAAGCTAAAGTATTTGCTTGAGGTGTAGAACTTTCATTGGGGCCATGGTGGCACTTCCATTACATGACATTCTAATTATATTTCATTGAACACTCTGTAAAATGTGTTGAGGAAAAACTAATTCCAAGGATCAGGCAGAACTAATTTACCCGTTTTTCAGAGTTTATTCAAGCAATTGTAGGTAAGCTCACCCTCCGGATGAAACTGCTTACCCCTCAAAGAGGGAGACAAGCTTACATGAGAGATAAGGGGTACTTCGCTCTACTCCCTTAAAGCATTCAAACAGACAAAAGCAGGTTCTAACCAGTTCTCACAGCCTATGTGTCTAAGATGGGGGAGTGATCAGCTCTTTAGAGCCTGAACAGATAGGAGAAGTATTCAGCCAATTTTGCTCCAACAAATGTAAACTGTAACGTCGTGGTTCAGTAACAATCATTGTGAAAACCATTGAATGTGTGAAACCAGGCTTCTGGAGGTACAACTTGTTTCTTGTCTTTCACCCTGTCCCCCCCTTTCCCTGGTAGGTAAACCACCTGCGCTGCCTTCATGAGTTTGTGGAGGCCCAGGCTACATACTATGCCCAGTGCCACCAGTACATGCAGGAGCTGCAGAAAGAACTGAGCAGGTGAGCACTTCACTACGGAGGTACAGTTGGATTAATCATCACCCTTATTAGTGGGCGGAAGTGGCTTTGTTTACATACGTGGGAACATTCTTCAACCTTTCCCTTCTTTTTTCTCTCTGCTGGCAGCGCTAACAGCGATATGTAAGTAACTAGTGTTGTTGTTGATGATAGTGTTGGGTTTGTAGAGTTGAGTTTGAGTTTAAGAGTGATTTTAGAATGGAATGTGTAAACCCACTCTTTATAAGTATTGTGCGTTTTTGTATATACAGTGCCTTCAGAAAATATTCACACCCTTGACTTTTTCCACAAATGTGTTGTGTTACAGCCAGAATTTAAAATTGATTAAATTGAGATTTTCTGGTCACTGGCCTACATCCAATACCCCATAATGTCAGTGGAATTATATTTTTACAAATAAATAAAAATGAAAAGCTGAAATGTCTTGAGTCTGAATATTCAACCCCTTTGTTATGGCAAGCCTAAATAAGTTCAGGAGTAAAACATTTACAAAATAAGTTGCATGGACTCACTCTGTGTACAATAATAGTGTTTAACATGATTTTTGAATGACTACCTCGTCTCCGTACCCCACACATACAATTATCTGTAAGGTCCCTGAGTCGAGCAGTGAATTTCAAACACCGATTTAGCCACAAAGACCAGGGAGGTTTTCCAATGCCTCGCAATGAAGGGCACCTATTGGTAGATGAAAAAATAAACAGACATTGAATATCCCTTTGAGCATGGTGAAGTTATTAATTACACTTTGGATGGTGTATCAATACACCCAGTCACTACAAAGATACAGGTGTCCTTCCTAACTCAGTTGCCGGAGAGGAAGTAAACTACTCAGGAATTTCATCATGAGGCCAATGGTGACTTTAAAACAGTTAGTGTTTAACGACAGTGATAGGAGAAAACTGAGGATGGCTCAACAACATTGTAATTACTCCACAATATTAACCTAATTGACAGCGGGAAAAGAAGGAACAAAAATATTCCAAAACATGCACCCTGTTTGCAACAAGGCACTAAAGTAATAATGCAAAAAATGTGGCAAAGTAATTACGTTTTTGTCCTGAATACAAAGTGTTATGTTTGGGGCAAATCCAATACAACACATTACCGAGTACCTGTGGCGGTCGGTGCCATTTAAGATGAGGGAGGACGATAATTTATTTCATGAGCATGGCCTTATTTCTATTACAGCATATTGGATGAAGGTCATTCATTTTACATTCACCCAGCTCAATGTAACATCGATAGGTTTAGGCTATTACATACATGATACAATATTTTCCCTATACCTAAGGCACTGCATCTCAGTGCTTGAGGCGTCACTACAGACCCCCTGGTTCGATTCCAGGTTGTATCACAACCGGCCATGATTGGGAGTCAAATAAGGCGGCGCACAATTGGCCCAGCGTTGTCCGGGTTTGGCCGGTGTAGGCCGTCATTGTAAATAAGAATTTGTTCTTAACTGACTTGCCTAGTTAAATAAAGGAAAAAAAATAAAAAATGAGGTTGCTACAACCTAGCCTATGAATGAAAGTCGAGATACATTTTTGTAATCAAGGTGACAGACATTGACACATTCAATACTGCCTTGCACAATCTTGCCTGCATCTAGCTGATCTAGGTTGTAATCATTAGTCCAACAGTTGCAAACGAGAGTTTCTATTGGAGACATTCAGGTATGTTTATCCCCGTTTCATTCCGTTTGCTTCCATTTAAGAAACGTTTTTTAACAGAATCGGGGGAATGGATACACCCATGATCACACGCAAACACCGTTCACTTTCATAGCAGCCACATACAAACAGCATTGATCCCTTTGATCGTTGGATAATTCCTTCTCGCATATACGCGCTCTCCTCCTCTCACCTTTTCCATTCACTTGTGGACTTCAGTGCACAACACATCAGCTGTCTGTGACCCGGCGATAAAATCTTTCCAAGCCAAACTTTCATATCATAACCGCTAACCGCTACACACAGCCTACATCGTTGTCGCAATTTTAGCTAGCATCAAGTCAACATAGCTACTAGAACTGTTAGTAAACCCACTACAATCATGCAGTACAGTGTACTGTTAGCAAGCAGTTTAGCAGTTACACCGGCGGTACCCAGTGGTAATAAATTAATAAAACCAAAAGCTTACCTTGACTGGAAAAGTTCCAGTGTTGGATAATCATAGCCAGCTAGGTAACATAGCATCCCTCTCTGTTTGAGTAGGCTAAACTACCTAGCTGCATTCGCTAAGTAAGTGAAAGTGAAAAAAATACTTATAGCTAGCTCTCTTGCTTCTCCTTCTCTTTTGTTCAAAACTGTTCAACTATTGTCTTTCTCTCTCTCTTTGTGTCAACTACTCACCACATTTTATGCATTGCAGTGCTAGCTAGCTGTAGCTTATGCTTTCAGTACTAGATTCATTCTCTGATCCTTTGATTGGGTGGACATGTCAGTTCATGCTGCAAGAGCTCTGATAGGTTGGAGGATGTCCTCTGGAAGTTGTAATAATTATTGTGTAAGTCTACGGAAGGGAGTGAGAACTACGAGCCTCCTAGGTTTTGTATTGAAGTCAATGTACCCAGAGGAGGACGGAAACTATCTGTCCTCCGGCTACAACAGGGTGCTACCCTACAGAGTGCTGTTGAGGCTACTGTAGACCTTCATTGCAAAACAGTGTGTTTTAATCAATTATTTGGTGACGTGAATATATTTAGCATAGTTTTATCTAAAATGGATAACTTTTTTAAATGTTTCACTATTTTTATTTTTATGAAATTCACTGAGGAGGATGGTCCTCCACTTTCTCTAAGGAGGAGCCCACTCCTGAGTACCACTCTCCTTATTTTCAAGCATAGTGGTGGCTGCATCATGTTATGGTTATGCTTGTAATCGTTAAGGACTGGGGAGTTTTTCAGGATAAAAAAGAAATGGAATGGAGCTAAGCACAGGCAAAATCCTAGAGGAAAACCTGGTTCAGTCAGCTTTCCACCAGACACTGGGAGATGATTAATTCACCTTTCAGCAGGACAATAACCTCAAACACAAGGCCAAATCTACACTGGAGTTGCTTACCAAGAAGACAGTGAATTTTCCTGAGTGGCCGAGTTACAGTTTCGCCTTGAATCTACTTGAAAATCTATGACAATACCTGAAAATGGTTGTCTAGCAACGGTCAACAACCAATTTGTCAAAGCTTGAAGAATTGTTTTAAAGAATAATGGGCAAATGTTGCACAATCCAGGTGTGGAAAGCTCTTAGAGACTTACCCAGAAAGACTCACAGCTGTAATCGCTGCCCAAGGTGCTTCTACAAAGTATTTACTCAGGGGGGTGAATAATTCATTTGCAAAAATATCAACGAAAAATGTTCACTTTGCCATTATGGGGTATTGTGTGTAGATGGGTACATTTTTTTTATATTGAATCCATTTAGAATTCAGGCTGTAACACAACAAATTGTGGAATAAGTGAAGGGGTATGAATACTTTCTGAAGGTACTGTACATTGTAAATATTTACTTGCTTGTGCCTAGGAGTTTTGGGGGTTTCCTAAAACTAGACTAGTGTTGAGTTTGCGTTTGAGAGTGAGCCCACCAAAATATTTTTGTGTAGAAGGTCTATGCGTGGACACAGTAGTTTGGGCGGTTTCCTTTGAGTTATAGGATAGGAATTAACAACATTCCCCCTGACCTCTCAATCTGGTAGGCTAGGTGGAGGTTTTGGCATATTGCCTGTGGTTACACGATGCCTTCAGATCTAAGTGCAAAGGGCTGTACCACTTAAGTGAGATGGGGGTGGATGTGGGATAGAATGTTCCTTTATCACCTTAGCACCCTAATTTATCGCTTATGTCTTCCCCTCTCCCTTAACCCGACCCCAGGTACCCAAACTCTTTTGCCTCGAACGTCAACCCCTCCACCTCCGCCTCCTGCCCCTCCCCCATCTCCTCTGCCACTCTGCCAGGGGTCTCACCCCCGGGCCTGGCCTCCACCTCCACCCCTGGCAGCGCCCGGGAGCCTTCTGGCCCGCTGAAGATCCAGGATGTGCAGCCGCCTTCCACGGGCCACCGCAAGGCCAAGGTCCTGTATGACTATGACGCCCACGACACTAGTGAGCTCTCCCTACTGGCTGACGAGGTAGGAGCAGCCATGGTTCACCACATCTGCTATGGGGCACCATTTGGAACATGCTGTATTTTCAATTCCGTGCCACAAAATACAAACATTGCAATCTTTTGTCTACAAAATGCCAAATGGTATAGGCATGTTACAAACTGCACCCCATAATCTGGGACATTTAAACAGGCAATTGTAAGACTCTGTCTCTCTTAGGGCTGACCCATTTAGTCGACTGGGCAATTGTTTGGTCGATAGGCTGTTGGTTGACCGAGATTTCTTTTAGTCGAGCAGTAGCAAAAAAACAAACGTTTCATGGTGTACAAGACACCTGTCTGATTGGCGCCTGTCTGAGTGGACTGATCCACCGTGGAGGTCGTGGGGATGGCACAGTCCATCACTCTAAGACATGCTACTGAAATTGTATGTGGTTATATTACATAAGAACAATGGTGCAACACTAATACAAATTTTATTATTTTATAACAAATGTGCTTTCTCGCGTGTTGGATAGTGGTCGCTGTCCGCGGTTCTGAAACACATCAGTGCACTGTTGAATTGGCACCTTTTCCTAGACCATGCTGCTATGTGCATAATAGTAAAGTTAACCAGTATATTGGTGTTGAGAACAATGCGGTGGAGGCATCAGCAGAATGAGGAGATGAGAAAACAGCCCTTGCCTTATTGTCTAAGAAAAGTGAGGAGAGAGGAAATCCCAACTTAATTAAGTCTATAATCAGTAGCCTAACTGTTAAATGTGCCTGGCTTTATAAATCATTCATATACAGTACCAGTCAAAAGTGTGGACACACCTACTCATTCCAGGGTTTTTCTTTATTTTTACTATTTTCTACATTGTAGAATAATAGTGAAAACATCAAAACTATGAAATTACACAGTGTTAAACTATTTCAAATCTATTTTATATTTGCGATTCTTCAAAGTAGCCACCCTTTGCCTTGATGACAGCTTTGCACACTCTTGGCATTCTCTCAACCAGCTTCATGAGGTAGTCACCTGGAATGCATTTCAATTAACAGGTGTGCCTTGTTAAAAGTTAATTTGTGGAATTTCTTTCCTTAATGCGTTTAAGCCAATCAGTTTTGTTGTGACAAGGTAGGGGGGGTATACAGAAGATAGCCCTATTTGGTAAAAGACCAAGTCCATATTATGGCAAGAACAGCTCAAATATGCAAAGAGAAACAAAGGTCAGTCAATCCGGAAAATGTCAAGAACTTTGAAAGTTTCTTCAACTGCAGTCGCAAAAACCATCAAGTGCTATGATGAAACTGGTTCTCATGAGGACCGCCACAGCAAAGGAAGACCCAGACTTACCTCTGCTGCAGAGGATAAGTTCATTAGAGTTACCAGCCTCAGAAATTGCAGGCCAAATAAATGCTTCACAGAGTTCAAGTAACAGATACATCTCAAAATCAACTGTTCAGAGGAGACTGCGTGAATCAGGCCTTCATGGTCGAATTGCTGCAAAGAAACCAATACTAAAGAACACCAATAAGAAGAAAAGACTTGCTTGGGCCAAGAAACACGAGCAATGAACATTAGACCGGTGGAAATCTGTCCTTTGGTCTGGAGTCCAAATTTGAGATTTTTGGTTCCAACTGCCATGTCTTTGTGAGATGCAGAGTAGGTGAACGGATGATCTCTGCATGTTTAGTTCCCACCGTGAAGCATGGAGGAGGAGGTGTGAGGGTGCTTTGCTGGTGACACTGTCAGTGATTTATTTAGAATTCAAGGCACACTTAACCAGCATGGCTACCATAGCATTCTGCAGCGATACGCCATCCCATCTGGTTTGGGCTTAGTGGGACTGTCATTTGTTTTTCAACAGGACAATGACCCAACACAACTCCAGGCTGTATAAGGGCTGTTTGACCAAGGAGAGTGATGGAGTGCTGCATCAGATTACCTGGCCTCCACAATCACCCGACCTCAACCCAATTGAGATGGTTTGGGATGAGTTGGACCGCAGAGTGAAGGCAAAGTAGCCAACAAGTGCTCAGTATATGTGGGAACTCCTTCAAGACTGTTGGAAAAGCATTCCAGGTGAAGCTGGTTGAGAGAATGCCAAGAGTGTGCAGAGCTGTCATCAAGGCAAAGGGTGGCTACTTTGAAGAATCTCAAATATAAAATATGACAGAAAAACCCTTTGTGTTTCTTGGCCCAAGCCATCCCGGAGTCGCCTCTTCACTGTTGACGTTGAGACTGGTGTTTTGCGGGTACTATTTAATGAAGCTGCCAGTTGAGGACCTGTGAGGCGTCTATTTCTCAAACTAGACACTCTAATGTATTTGTCCTCTTGCTCAGTTGTGCACCGGGGCCTCCCACTCCTCTTTCTATTCTGGTTAGAGCCAGTTTGCGCTGTTCTGTGAAGGGAGTAGTACACAGCGTTGTACGAGATCTTCAGTTTCTTGGCAATTTCTCACATGGAATAGCCTTCATTTCTCAGAACAAGAATAGGCTGACGAGTTTCAGAAGAAAGTTATTTGTTTCTGGCCATTTTGAGCCTGTAATCGAACCCACAATTGCTGATGCTCCAGATACTCAACTAGTCCCTCTGCAACTGGATCCTGGAATTCCTGACGGGCCGCCCCCCAGGTGGTAAGGGTAGGTAACAACACATCTGCCACGCTGACCAGCAACACGGGGGCCCCTCGGGTGCGTGCTCAGTCCCCTCCTGTACTCCCTGTTCACCCATGACTGCATGGCCAGGCACGACTCCAACACCATCATTAAGTTTGCCGACGACACAACAGTGGTAGGCCTGATCACCGACAATGATGAGACCGCCTATAGGGAGGAGGTCAGAGACCTGGCCGTGTGGTGCCAGGACAACAACCTCTCCCTCAACGTGATCAAGACAAAGGAGATGATTGTGGACTACAGGAAAAAAAAAGAGGACTGAGCACGCCCCCATTCTCATCGACGGGGCTGTAGTGGAACAGGTTGAAAGCTTCAAGTTCCTTGGTGTCCACATCACCAACGAACTATCATGGTCCAAACACACCAAGACAGTCGTGAAGAGGGCACGACAAAGCCTATTCCCCCTCAGGAGACTGAAAAGATTTGGCATGGGTCCTCAGATCCTCAAAAAGTTCTACAGCTGCACCATCGAGAGCATCCTGACTGGTTGCATCACCGCCTGGTATGGCAACTGCTCGGCCTCCGACCGCAAGGCACTACAGAGGGTAGTGCGTACGACCCAGTACATCACTGGGGCCAAGCTTCCTGCCATCCAGGACCTCTATACCAGGCGGTGTCAGAGGAAGGCCCTCAAAATTGTCAGACTCCAGCCACCCTAGTCATAGACTGTTCTCTCTGCTACCGCACGGCAAGCGGTACCGGAGCGCCAAGTCTAGGTTCTCAACAGCTTCTACCCCCAAGCCATAAGACTCCTGAACAGCTAATCATGGCTACCCGGACTATTTGCACCCCCACCCCATCTTTTTACGCTGCTGCTACTCTGTTAATTATTTATGCATAGTCACTTTAACAGTACCCACATGTACATATTACCTCAACTACCTCAACTATGTGGTCCTCTGTAGCTCTCAGCTGGTAGAGCACGGCGCTTGTAACGCCAAGGTAGTGAGTTCGATCCCCGGGACCACCCATACACAAAAAAAAATATGCACGCATGACTGTAAGTCTCTTTGGATAAAAGCGTCTGCTAAATGGCTTATTATTATTATTATTATTATTATTATTATTATTATTATTATTTAACTAGCCGGTGCCCCCGTACATTAACTCTGCACCGGTACCCCCCTGTATATAGCCTCCCTACTGTTATTTTATTTTACTTCTGCTCTTTTGTTGTTTTATTTTACTTTTTTATTAAGAAATAAATGCATTGTTGGTTAAGGGCTGTAAGTAAGCATTTCACGGTAATGTCTACACCTGTTGTATTCGGCACATGTGGCAAATGAAATTTGTAGACACAACAGTTTTCAGCTGTGCTAACATAATTGCAAAAGGGTTTTCTAATGATCAATTAGCCTTTTTTTTATGATAAACTTGGATTAGCATACACAACGTGCCTTTGGAACACAGGACTGATGGTTGCTGTTAATGGGCCTCTGTACGCCTATGTAGATATTCCATAAAAAAATCAGCAGTTTCTAGCTACAAAAGCCATTTACAACATTAACATTGTCTACACTGTATTTCTGATCAATTTGATGTTATTTTAATGGACAAAAAAAATGCATTTCTTTCGAAAACAACAACATTTCTAAGTGACCCCAAACTTTTGAACGGCAGGTTCACTGAGTTAGAAATCTAAATTTATGTGTTTTTGTTTTTTGAGTCAATTAGACCATTTTCAAGCTTTTCTTTCTTTCTTTTTATTTTTCAACTGTTTGTCTCCCCATTTTCGATCTTGTCTCTTCGCTGCAACTCCCCAACGGGCTCAGGAGGCGAAGATCGAGTCTTGCGTCCTCCGAAACACGACCCGCCAAACCGCGCTTCTTAACACCCGCCCGCTTAACCCGGAAGCCAGCCGCACCAACGTGTCGGAGGAAACACCGTTCAACTGACGACCGAGGTCAGCCTGCAGGCGCCCGGCCCGCCACAAGGAGTCGCTAGAGCGCGATGAGTCAAGTAAAGCCCCCCCGGCCAAACCCTCCCCTAACCCGGACGACGCTGGGCCAATTGTGCGCCGCCTTATGGGACTCCCGATCACGGCCGGTTGTGATACAGCCCAGGATCGAACCCAGGTCTGTAGTGATGCCTCTAGCACTGCGATACAGTGCCTTAGACCGCTGCGCCACTCGGGAGGCCCAGGCTTATCTTTCTAAATAATAAAAAGTTATTTTGGCAAGTTAGCTGGCTAACTCCTTGATCCTACTTTGTATTATTACCCCTCTGTTTCAGCTCATCACTGTCTACACAGTGCCAGGCATGGACCCAGACTGGCTGGTTGGAGAGCGGGGCAACCAGAAGGGCAAGGTGCCCGTCACCTACCTGGAGCTGCTGAGCTAGATGGACCCACGTAGGGACGCACACGCACGCACGCTCGCACACACACAGACACACACAGACACATGCACACATGCCTCTACTCTATGGTCTCATGGCACAGGAGGTTGGTGGCACCTTAACTGGGGAGGACAGGCTCATGGTAATGGATGGAGTGGAATAGGTGGAATGGTGTCAAATGCATGGTTTCCATGTGTTTGATGCCATTCCATTTACTCCATTCCAGACATTATTATGAGCTGTCCTCCTCTTAGCAGCCTCTGCTGTCTCATGGTGCGCAACACACTTACTTTGGTCTCTGGCCAATTCAAACGCATATGCAAAAGGATTCAAAAGCTAAATTAGTGTGGATCTATAGTGCATCAGAAGGGGGAACAGTCATACAAATACAGTGAATAGTATATATTCTAGCTCTATAGTTGCTGTTTGGAATCCATCCACCTTGTACGCTCTATCTTTCTCATTGAGAAATGACAGGAGCAGCTCGAATAAGGTGGCATATCTAGGTAGGTATATAGAGTATATAATAGACCGGGTCTGGACTCTCAATATATAGAGGAAAGGTTCTTGTTTTATTTAGTTTTTCAACCAAGCTAATTTAGTGTTAGTTAGTCACCATAACTTGGACATTTCAAAAGCCATGATAAAAAAATATATATATTAAACAGCTGTAGGCCTATACAATCCCCCAGCTGTAGGCCTGTAATGCAAACATAATTCAGGGTGACTAAAATAATTATCTCTCAAGGTATCATTAGCCATTGGCTATCACAACATAAGAAATACATCTTGAAAGAAGGAGACAGCTGTACAGTATGCTAACAGAAGGTGACTCATATATTTTGCTCTCGATTTCAATACATTTCTGTCATCTCATGCCCATGCATTACATCTGTCTGTGTCGTGACTGAGTCATAAACGGGTGATGAAAGACTAGAGCAGTAGTTGAATTCAGTTCTGTTTTCTGACTATGGTATTATTCTGTTTATGTACATATTATATTTTTGTACTGTATTTACGTGGCTTTTATTTCTTAGGTAACACTGTTTACTTTTTTGCGAGTGTTCCCCTGTCTTTTGCCCTATTTGTGAAGAAAAGGACAAAACCATGGTAACTTTATTAAACTAACCAAGGTTTATGCAAATCAAAGTATTAAGTTGCTCTCTGTGGGTTGGTCCGTTGTTGATGTTTGCGTGTCATTTTTGTTTTTGTTTATCCACTCTGGTTGCTGAAAAATGTGTATTTTTCTCCAGGATGTTTGTCGAGTTTAGGGTGTGTTTTACTAACTATCGGGTCTTAATGTTTGTCTTTTGAATTTGTAGATGTTTTGAAATGGTTGTTAGTTGTATGTAATAGGTTCAGACCTGTGGTTTCCTTTCCTCTCTGATCTCCTTACACTCCTGTGTGGATCGCAAGCTCTCCCTGAACCCCTCAACCTTTCCTCCTGTCAGTGTGCACAATATGCTGTTCCTTGACTGTTGTATGATTATTGTATGAATGGAACTTGAAGAAAATAAATGACAGCTTGTTTAAAATGATAAAAATAAGCACTGGATAATTTAATGACTCAATACTATGTAGCAACCTTTCATTTATAACATCATACAACTGAATAACATAATGTACAATTATTTTTGTAATATTTTCAATTGACATTTCAACATTGTTTTTTTGTGATTGGGCTGTCCCACTCCTCTCATATTTTTTGTTTATTGGATAGATGTAGGAAAGAGTGTACTGAAATAGCAGTGGACCAGATTCAAACCCATGCTGCAGCGGTACATGTGTCCCGGCGGCAGGGGCTTAGACCGCTAGACCAACCTAGGTCACATGTAATGTTTTTGAAAGACAGAGTGGGATGGTCTGTGACTCACTGAACCTTTCCCGGTTTGAGGAATTAATGCAGCCTCAGAGTTACACACAGACAGGGTAACACATAGGGATAGACTGATGTGATTTCCTGAAGGCACTCCATCCCACCACCATGTGACAAACTCTGTGTCCTTGTGGTTAGAGTGTCTGCCCTGAGATTGGAAAATGATAGCCTAACATACCACTTCTCACATACAGAACCTTTTAAAGGTGCAATCTGCAGTTGTTGCATACATTTTTTTACTTTTAAATTAATGATATTCCCATTGATTCTTGAAGAATATCACTTATCGATGCCTCATGAGCTTAGCTTAACTGTCCTACCCCATCAGAACCTAAAATATAAGCTTGTTTGACTCTTCTATAAACAATGTAAACAAACACTGTATAGCCTCAAATAATAGTTAAAACTATAATTTTTATATCATGGCCGGTCAGTCCTTGTATCCATAGCTCTGTCCATGAGTTTGGGAGTGGTTACATTTCTCCAGCCCCATCCCTCAGCTGTTTACCAAATCAATGGTAGGGTGACCACTTTGTTATAGTTCGAACAGCAGATTGCCACTTTAATGGAAATTGAATTGTTGTTTCAGAAAACAAATGAATGTGATTTAAATTCTATAAGTACGTATGAAAACGCGTTACAGCCATGTCGATCTCTTTAGTATATGATATCTAAGGAGTTGTGTGTTGGTGGGTAATTTGTTGTAAGTGTGTGCACATGCGGCCTTGCCCAGGCCTGAGGGGTATACTACAAAGCAGGTTCACTGAGTTAGCTAGCTATCTTCGATAACTGCTGATTTTCTGATTCAATAAGAAATCTAAACTTATATGTGTTTTTTGAGTCAATTAGACCATTTTCAAGCTTTTCTTTCTTTATTTTTCAACTATTTTTCTCCCCATTTTCGATCTTGTCTCTTCACTGCAACTCCCCAACGGGCTCAGGAGGCAAAGATCGAGTGTTGCGTCCTCCGAAACACGACCCGCCAAACCGCGCTTCTTAACATTCGCCCGCTTAACCCGGAAGCCAACCGCACCAACGTGTCGGAGGAAACACCGTTCAACTGACGACCGAGGTCAGCCTGCAGGCCCCCGGCCCGCCACAAGGAGTCGCTAGAGCGCGATGAGTCAAGTAAAGCCCCCCCGGCCAAACCCTCCCCTAACCCGGACGACGCTGGGCCAATTGTGCGCCGCCCTATGGGACTCCCGATCATGGCCGGTTGTGATACAGCCCAGGATCGAACCCAGGTCTGTAGTGATGCCTCTAGCACTGCGATACAGTGCCTTAGACCGCTGCGCCACTCGGGAGGCCCAGGCTTATCTTTCTAAATAATAAAAAGTTATTTTGGCAAGTTAGCTGGCTAACTCCTTGATTCTACACAGTGCCAGGCATGGACCCAGACTGGCTGGTTGGAGAGCGGGGCAACCAGAAGGGCAAGGTGCCCGTCACCTACCTGGAGCTGCTGAGCTAGATGGACCCACGTAGGGACGCACACGCACGCACGCTCGCACACACACACAGACACATGCACACATGCCTCTACTCTATGGTCTCATGGCACAGGAGGTTGGTGGCACCTTAACTGGGGAGGACAGGCTCATGGTAATGGATGGAGTGGAATAGGTGGAATGGTGTCAAATGAATAGTTTCCATGTGTTTGATGCCATTCCATTTACTCCATTCCAGCCATTATTATGAGCTGTCCTCCTCTTAGCAGCCTCTGCTGTCTCATGGTGCGCAACACACTTACTTTGGTCTCTGGCCAATTCAAACGCATATGCAAAAGGATTCAAAAGCTAAATGAGTGTGGATCTATAGTGCATCAGAAGGGGGAACAGTCATACAAATGCCGTGAATAGTATATACAGTGGGGAAAAAAAGTATTTAGTCAGCCACCAATTGTGCAAATTCTCCCACTTAAAAAGATGAGAGAGGCCTGTAATTTTCATCATAGGTACATGTCAACTATGACAGACAAATTGAGGAAAAAAAATCCAGAAAATCACATTGTAGGATTTTTAATGAATTTATTTCCAAATTATGGTGGAAAATAAGTATTTGGTCACCTACAAACAAGCAAGATTTCTGGCTCTCACAGACCTGTAACTTCTTCTTTAAGAGGCTCCTCTGTCCTCCACTCGTTACCTGTATTAATGGCACCTGTTTGAACTTGTTATCAGTATAAAAGACACCTGTCCACAACCTCAAACAGTCACACTCCAAACTCCACTATGGCCAAGACCAAAGAGCTGTCAAAGGACACCAGAAACTAAATTGTAGATCTGCACCAGGCTGGGAAGACTGAATCTGCAATAGGTAAGCAGCTTGGTTTGAAGAAATCAACTGTGGGAGCAATTATTAGGAAATGGAAGACATACAAGACCACTGATAATCTCCCTCGATCTGGGGCTCCACGCAAGATCTCACCCCGTGGGGTCAAAATGATCACAAGAACGGTGAGCAAAAATCCCAGAACCACACGGGGGACCTAGTGAATGACCTGCAGAGAGCTGGGACCAAAGTAACAAAGCCTACCATCAGTAACACACTACGCCGCCAGGAACTCAAATCCTGCAGTGGCAGACGTGTCCCCCTGCTTAAGCCAGTACATGTCCAGGCCCATCTGAAGTTTGCTAGAGTGCATTTGGATGATCCAGAAGAGGATTGGGAGAATGTCATATGGTCAGATGAAACCAAAATAGAACTTTTTGGTAAAAACTCAACTCGTCTTGTTTGGAGGACAAAGAATGCTGAGTTGCATCCAAAGAACACCATACCTACTGTGAAGCATGGGGGTGGAAACATCATGCTTTGGGGCTGTTTTTCTGCAAAGCGACCAGGACGACTGATCCGTGTAAAGGAAAGAATGAATGGGGCCATGTATCGTGAGATTTTGAGTGAAAACCTCCTTCCATCAGCAAGGACATTGAAGATGAAATGTGGCTGGGTCTTTCAGCATGACAATGATCCCAAACACACCGCCCGGGCAACGAAGGAGTGGCTTCGTAAGAAGCATTTCAAGGTCCTGGAGTGGCCTAGCCAGTCTCCAGATCTCAACCCCATAGAAAATCTTTGGAGGGAGTTGAAAGTCTGTGTTGCCCAGCGACATCCCCAAAACATCACTGCTCTAGAGGAGATCTGCATGGAGGAATGGGCCAAAATACCAGCAACAGTGTGTGAAAACCTTGTGAAGACTTACA